GGAAAGCGGGGACCCCCACCCCACCTCAGGCAGCCGCCGCGGAGACCTCGCGTTATTCTCTGTCCTCCTCGGCTCTGCCAAACGTTATCTGGGGCAGCAGAAAGGCTGAACGTTGGGTCTGCCCCCCCCTCAGCCCAAGAGATTCACCGCGGAGAAGCTGTTCCGTTAAAGGGCTGCGATTATCTATAATAATTAGTCCTAATCAATATTTCAAATGAGGTCGGTCCCAGAATCCAGCAGGAAGGCTGCGATCGCTGGGTACTGCCCGGGCAGCTGAGTGTTGCCTTGCCAGGAGCAGAAACACCAACCACGTTTTGCTGCACCTGACCAAGAGATTTCAAAGCAAAGAATTTCAGTGATTTTTCCCCTCTGTTTTATTTATTTTTCTTTTTTTTTTAAGATGGGGAGCAGGAGTCGAGTCCCTTCTCCCACTGCAGCATCCCCCAGCCAGGAGGGTCCCGCCTCGCCCTGCCAAGGTCCCTGGGCAAATCTTTTAAAAATATAAACCTGTATTAAGAGATGAGCGGGGAAGAGAGCAGCTGCCTCCTGTGCAGCACCGGAGAGGGCCCACAGCCAGCGCGAGGAGGAGTGGAGAAAACCTCTCACATAGCTCCTCTGTTACAGGCTGCAGCCCCTCGCCGATCGCTGGGGCTGAACTCCGTCAAAGAAACCTCGTGCTTCACAACAGATGTTTCTAAATGTTTGGATTTATTTTTTATGAAGGTTTTACAAGAATCAATTCCAGTTTATAAGCCTTTTTTTTTTTTTTTCTTTTTTTTTCTTTTTTTTCCCGAGGACAGAAGAGGATTTGGAGAGTGCTTTCTTCTGTTCTGGTTGAAGTTTTACTTATTGCTTTTAAAACTCCACGATTTTATGTGAGCTGCAGCCTTTACAGACAGAGCCGCTCTCGCATTTCGCAAAAAACTACTTCTCGTACCGCGTAACACGTGAAATAGTGGAGCTGCGAGGCTGATAGATTTACTGGGCACAAGATGCAGAAGGAGAAATTAGCTCTGTGCACGGCACTAAACTTTTTTTTTTTTAATTTATTTTGAGAGGAAAAGGGGCTGCTGGCGGGAAGGGAGCGACCTGGGGGCTCCAGCCCTGCCATGCTACATCCCTGTGAGGGCACGTGCACCCTCCTGTCCAAAATATCTTCTCAGAGAGGGAAATCTCTCAGAGAGAGACTTTGGAGATTTGGCCAGGTTTATCACTCAGTAACACAGCTGTGTGAAGCAGGATCTGGAAAAAACATCTATGGCTGAAGTAAACAGCAAGTAAATAGAGCGCACTCGCCGTCCGCGCAGCTGCCTGGCACTGCCAAGCACAAAAATCTTGGTTTGGCTGCTTCTAGGTTTGCCAGATTTCCTGCCGTGTGGCCTTCTCCAGGTGACCTTTGGGTTTTGTTTGTTTGGGTTTTTTTTTCCCCACGGAAGTCAATTCAGCCATTTCTGAGAATGCGGCTCTGGAAAGATACATTCTTCCCATTTAAAAATATTATGTCAAACTTTCCTTTTAAATAACATCGTCTCACTCCTGCTGAACTATTGCCTGTCTATACGGAGAGAGAGGGAAAGTAAATATCATTTACAAGCAAAGGTCTCAGCTGAGATATTTGTTGAACAATCTTCCTAAGGTGACTAGAAATTGATTTTTCTAGTAATGTCAAAGTCTGTTGACAGAACAAGATAAAAGGACGAAATATTTATTACAAAAACATGCCCGAATTTAAGCCCTGCCTCCTGCTGCCAGGCAGCGGCCCGGCTCCCGTCGGAGTTTTTACCAGTAGAAACCAAGACCAGAAAGCCCCAAAGCCCAGCAAAGCCTGGCCTGGGCTGCCCCCCCGCAGCCCTTGCCTGCGCAAGATGGGACCTGCCCTATTCGTTTGCAACCCTTGATCAAGTTTCCAGGCATTCTGTATTACACTTGATTTAGCTTTGCTAGACTAAGCACATTATTAATTGGTTCTCTTTTTATTTACAATACTATTGCTTGAAATATATACTACGCTCGGTAATTGAATTTTTGGAATACAGTAATTAAAAAAGTCAAAAGAGCAATAAACAGAAGCGTTAGTAAATAATTGCATCTGAGAATGAGCATAAATCATCCAGATTAAATGATTTTATATCATATTTGAACTCTTTAATTTTAATTTATGGTTTCCAGACAATTTACAGCCGCTGCTGACTTTGTTTTCCCCTGCCTGCCTCGTAGCCCTAGTGCTGATAAAAAGCTTTTTGAGAATTCTTAGTTTTCCTCTCATACCCTTTGCCCGGGTTATTTTCTGGGCGCTCTGCAGGGCTGAGCCGTGTTCCACCACCCGGGTCAGCACGGGGGACACAACCGGGGCTCGCTGCTGGCCCGGGGCTCGCTGGTGCAGCCGCGGTGAGGGTCTGCAGACGGGGCAGAGCGGCGCTGGGCTGCGGTGAGGGGCACCCACGGGGCTCATTTCCCGGCAGCCAGGGCCGGGGCTGCAGCTCAGACACCGTCCGAGGCGGGAGCGGGGATTATTCCTGCCCGCCGGTGTGATTACTTCCCTGCCTGCCTGCGTGGGGCATTGACCGACTTTAAGATTTCTGGCTTAACTTTCAGAGCTGTCATGAGCCGGGTCCCAGATAATTCTCCGAGTGTGGATCCCCAAGGCCAAGGGGATGAAGCTGTCAGAGGCAGGAGCCGGCGGGGCAGGATTAATTCCACGCTCCTGCGTCTTGAGAGCTGCAGAAAATCCCCCCGCGCCTGGGTGCTGGAGGGCGCGTGGCAGGGCGGCGTGGGCATCCGCCCTCGTAGGGAGGGGAAGGAGCAGGCTTAGCCAGGGGGGTGGATTTAAAAATTGGGATTTCCAACCCGGCCACGGCAGAGGAAATTCTGCGGGTTGCAGAGAGAGGCAGGGCAGCAGGCGGGCAGCGGCCACCATCTCCTGGGGCAGCTGCCGGAGCACAACGGGATGGAGTTTATCAAATATTTATCAAATATTGAACTTGGCAGTTTCTCTTGGAAATGCTATGTTATTCAGCTTTTACGGCCTTAATTTCATTTAAAATTCCTGCAAGTCAGACTAACAGAAAAGGACCGTTGCTCAGCACAGTATTAGGAGAAAATTCATGGGCTGCTAACGCTACTTCTGTTTGAAGTTTGTTTACTTTTTTCAGTGAGCTGAACTTTATTCATTGTCACTTTTGAAATGTGCCATCTTTCTGGATTACACTTGATAAGCACTTGCTGAGGATATAAGCTATCAGTTTTGGAGTTTTGATCTCCCAGAATTCAATTTTTTCTGGCTTAAGATCAAAAGATGACAAATATCTTGAAAGAAGACAGAAGCTTTATTGTTGCTATTTGAGGATATCAGCATGTCAAAAGTAGAGACGGGTTGTAAACTATCCTGTTATTTGGGACAAGTATTTCCAACCTACACATTAACTTGGGCTTGATAATTTTGCACATCTTTATTGGGAATAAAAGATGTTCTGTTGTAGTGCTGACGCCGTCCACTCGCCGAAATCTGACAGTCAGCGCGGTTACTCTTCCCGAGGCATTTGAAAATGTCACTGGGGAAGTGCTGCTGCCAGAGGCACATTTTAACTGGCACTGGGAGGAATCAACGTATCTCAAAGCATCTCTTGGAGAAAAAAAAAAAAAAAAAGAAATAAAAGACTTGTAATGCCGGCATCCACAAAAGCCATCTCCAGGCAGGGAAGGAAGCAGGAGAACGGTTTGAAATGCCGGCTGCGATGGGAGGGTAACGGTGCTTACGTGGGCAGCGAGTTTTCGCCAAGGGGGGAGCCCCAAGCATCTGCCCCCTCCGAGCAGCAGGACGGGCCCTTCCCGGCCCCCCACCGCCGTGGGTCTGGGGGGCACCGGGGCTGCGGGGACGGCGTATGTGTGGGAGGGTGAGGGGTGCTGAGCGGGACGGGGCTCACCCAAGCCGTGGGACCACGGGGATCCCCCTCAGGTCCCTGTTTTAGATGGGCAGACCCTCATTTTTAGGTCACCAAGCTTCGTTTGTGCAGTCCAAAACTCTGAGTCTCGGGGTGAAAGCCTCCTTTTTATGCTCCTAACCCTCATTTTTAGGGTACACGCGTTTTTGTTGTACAAACCCTCATTTTTAGGTTCCAAAGCTTCAGGTTTACAGTCCAAAACTTTGAGCCGAGGGTTGCAAGCCTCCTTTTTAGGCTTCAAACCCTCAGTCATAGGGTACAAACCTTCATTTTTGATGTATAAACCTTTTTTTAGGTCCCAAAACTTCATATTTACAGTCCAAAGCTTTGATTCTAGGGTTGAAAGCCTCCTTTTTAGGCTCCAAACCCTCATTTTTAGGGTACAAACCTTCACTTTCTGCTCCTGATCTCGGATTCTAGGTTTGAAAGCCTCCTTTTAGGGTACAAACCCTCGTTTTTTGGTCACGAAGTCCCATTTTTAGACTCCAAAGCTTTGATTCTAGGGTCGAAAGCCTTTTTTTTTTTTAAGGCTCCAAACCCTGTTTTATGCTCCAAACCCTAATATTTACATTGCAAATGCTCATTTTTGTTATACACACATTCATTTTTAGGTCTGAAACCCTCATTTTTAGACTCCAAAGCTTTGATTCGAGGGTCGAAAGCCTCCTTTTTATGCTGCAAATCCCCATTTTTAGGGTACAAACCTTCACTTTCTGCTCCCAATCTCTGATTCAAGGTTTGAGAGCCTCCTTTTAGGGTACAAACCCTCATTTTTAGACTCCAAAGCTTTGATTCTAGGGTCAAAAGCCTTTTTTTTTTTTTTTTTTTTTTTTTTTTTTAAGCTCCAAGCCCAGCCCTGCAAGGAAACAACAAGCCACAGACCCCCCAAATCATGGGGTCACAGCCGGACCTGGAACCCGCGTCCCCCCCCTCCCCGGATAGCCGCAGTGCCGCACGCAACAGAAGTGCTTTTAACCACCGCTGCATTAATTATTCTGCAGCATTAATTATTAATTTTCTTCATAGCAACCCGGTGCCTGGGGAATCACCTGCTTTTCTGGCTACGGTACAGCGAGAAACAAACTTCCCTCTGCGCGCTCGTGGTCCCAACCCACCCCTCCTCACTCCTCTGCTGCAAACAACGCCAAAATAATATTCCCAAAGACAATCTGGAGTAAGGTAGGACCTATAGTTTATGGCCCCCAAAAAGCAGAGCAGAGTAAGATGCTTTGTGTAAACAACTGATTTTCTCTAAGTGCCTCGATGCATTTCAGAGGCTCTGCCTGACACATCTCTGACTTCACAGAGCCTGGCCCCGGTCCCGTTGTGTTCGTATCTCTGGAGCAGCGCAGAAGAAGAGAGTAACTTGGTGTAGCAGCAGCATCACGTCGGGTGGGTCGGAGGAGGAGGCAGGAAGGATTTGTAACCTGCCTATCTTCGGCAGAGGTGCCGGAGCATCTCTCCAGCACAGCCCCTCCAGGCAGTGTCCTTATCTGTGGGCACCTGCTTTTTGCAAGATTGGGTCTTTAAGCCCTCGCCACTATTACTTGTGTTGGCTTTTTTATCTGTGGTCATCAGAAAGGTCTTTAGGACTCCTAAGCTTATGTCAAATTACTCTTTCATGACATATTCCGTGGTTTTCATAATATGCTTTAGCACCTGGTAGAGCAGTGGCTATTTGCAGTAGCTCTGCCTGTTGAGGCAAGGTTTGAATCACACTTATGTATTTCTGAAGAAAAGAAATGGTGTGATTCATCAAGGAAAAAAAAAAAAAAAAGATAAAGATGTGGACTAAATACATCTTTAGATCTCCCCTCGCCAGAGAAGAGGCATTGTCATATTAGTGTGCTGTTGTATTAAACAGCGATGCTAATTAAAGATGCACCAAATTACTCAAAGGTAATTCGATTTTTTTAGCCCACAAGCCAGTGGCAAAATACCTGCTGAAGTACCACATCAGCTGGCAGACGTTAGAAATGCCCTGGTAATGGAATCTGAATGCAAGATGGCAACACTCACCCAGTCCTTCCAACATTTCTCTCCCTATAAAAAGAAATCCCAAGCCGCAGGAGTCATTTTGACTGATGAAAAAAAGAGATAGGTGTTATTCCAGGGCAGAAACATTTGGGGTTTTTTGGTTGGAAGTCCTTAAGAGCAACTGAAGGCCTTTGGGCTGGTTTCGCCAGGAGCAGGGCCCGCGGCGGGTGCTGCCGGGGTCGGGGCTGCAGGCTGACGTGTGTCCCACATCCAGGCTCCTTCCCCCGAGCTCACAACAGCCGGGGCTGCGTCGTGCCAGACAGAGATCCGCAAAGCTCTTCCCCCAAAAACTGCCTTTAAGGAACACCTTGCTCATTCAGAGAAATCAGGCGCATTTCAAAATAGCTCTGAAGAGAAAAAAAAAAAAAATTTAGCTGGGAAATTCTGGTGGGGAAATAGTTGTTGACTTGCGAAAGGCTGGAGGATACCGGATCAACCATGAGGATAAACCAACGAAAAATCAACTTTTGCAATGTCCAGCTCCTGCCTGCAGGCAGCGATCCTGCCAGAGCTTACACAAAGGGGGTTTTTGTGCCGGGCGTCCGCGACGCAGGGCGCTATTAAAAGCAAAAAAAAAAAGAGAAAATTGAGCCTATTGTTTGGCGCATGATTACAATGTCATTGTTCGGGGGATTTGTTGGAGAAGGATGACAGGGGGCTTCTGCAAAAGCTGGCAAGGGGCGAGAGATGGGTCTGCAAGCAGGCACTGCTAACTGAGGAGGAGCAACGTTCTGATGGCACCGTAACGCCGGGACTGGAAACCTGCCCTGAGCCAAGCAGCACCGAAATCCCTCGGGGCTGGTGCTGCCAGGACCATACTCACAGGGAGAGGCAGCTGCGGGCAGGGGCACGGTGCTTAGGTGATGGTGCTTCGGGGACCGCGCGCTGCTTCTCCACGGAGGAGCCACACAATGGAGGCTGGTGAAGCACTAGTCCAGAAATAGACTCTAAAGTCCATATTAAGACTTTCAAAAAACCATATGGAGGAAAGGAAGGCTGGCAATTGCGTATTTTCCCCAGAAAAGCGAGGAACCATTTCCCAGCACCCGTGTTTGGTGACGCTGCTCAACAAAAATGGAAATTATCGGGGCACAGAGACACGGGTCGGAGAAGTGGCCGAGGGCCAGTCAGTGGGGCCACTGTGCGGGGCTGGAGGATGCCGTTCATTGCCCGGGCATGGGCCTGGCCCGCTTGCTGCCCTCATCAGCGTGAGCCACACGCGGCAGCTCAACGGCGGGGAGGGCGTGAAGCAACTAAATATCTGCAGCCTGGGATGGGTGTGACAAAACCAGTGATTAAGATTTCGAGCTTCACGCACAGAGCCATCCCCCTTTATAAAGGCACGTCGAGCTTCCCCTAAATAAATAAAGTTTTGCCTGATTTTTTTCCTCTGTTTTTGTCTTCCTGCTGTCTGACAGGTGCCGTTCTCATTTCACAACTATCGTTTTGGGAAGGCGGAGCGGTCATTGATTTTGAAAGGGACCAAAGCACAGGTCAGAAGAAAACCAGAGAGGGAGTGGGAGGCCGATTAAAATCCCCCAGGCTGTGTGCTGCAGGGAGAGGAGCTTCAGAAATGCAGCAGCGTCTCGGCTGTCCTAAAGGTGGAGGCAGGGATGGATTGAAGCTCTTCCAGTCTCCTCATTTTTCCACTTCCTAGAGCAAATACGTGTGACAGCTCTGTGCACCCAGAGCAGGAACCGCTCCCTCCGGCTCACGGTGGCGTAGACTTTTCCCATTTTCCGAAGGCTCAGAGCTGTTGGAACCGGCTGAGCCGCGAGCCTGCCAGCTCCGGGTACAGCCTGCGATCCTTCTGCGTGAGACCCATTGGGTTTAATGGCTCAGATGCAAGAACAAGCTGATGCACTCTGCTTTTGAGCTTGGCATTGTGATATGCTTGACAGTTACATATGAATATTAGCCATCTGCAGGATATGAAGATATAGCTATGATTTCTCTCTTTCTCTATCTCCTTTTTTTTTTTCTTTTTTTAATTTTTGTTGGAGCAAATTATCGCAGAACCGTGTTTACCAGTGAGGCTCTTTGGTCCGGGATTGAAACGAGCACTTCCGAGTGCTATTTGGCAAATTCTACTGAGAGTAAGATAATAACTAAAAAAAAAAAAAACCAAACCCAAAAAAACTATTTAAAAACTATGTTGACAGAACTGGGCTGTGGGTAACTTCAGTTCTGATATGGAGAGTTTATCAGAACTTTGGATTATCCAGCACTTGAGTGGGAGTTTGGCACTTGTGTTAAACCAAAGGTCATTTATCTGGATAGTTGGGATGACTAAATCTATTTGCGGAATAAGCCTAACTTGCAGGGTATTAGTCATGTTGGTTTAGGTTACTAAAAGTAATTATTTTTGCACAGATAAAACTCACTGTACCTGCTATTGCTCTGCAGCCCTCCCCTGTGCCCAGTTGACAGCCTGCATGAAGAGGCTGGAGCTAAAGGTCGCTCGTGGTGCTGTCGCCTACGGGGAGTTCCCCCAGCCCACCCCAGTGCTGGGAACTGTCTCCCACAACATCCAGCTAAAACCAGTATTTGAAAATAGCCCTTCGCCCAACGCTTGGCTTCCCCAGGCCCTCGCTCTGCCCAGGGCCCATGGTCACGGAGGAGCATCACCTCGTTGAAAGCTGCCTCCACAACCCGTAAATAACCAACGGCGCCGTACCAGCCCCTCGAAACAATAACCAGCGGTTGAAAAGGTCCTACAAAGAGGGCAAATCCTTTTTACTTTGACCCCAGCGAAGTAGAGGGCGTCCCCAGCCTGGAGGCAGGGGTGTCCCCGGCAGGTTTGTCAGTGATAGAAGAGAAGGAGTGTAATTGCTTTCAAGAGCACAATTAAAAAATCACTTGCTTGGGCTCTGTGTGATTTTGCCACAAATCATTTTAGCATGATGGGATGTGTATTCTGTGCCTTGAAAACATATGCTGGGGCATACTGGCATGTGGAGAGATTTAATCCAGTGCATTGATGTGCATCTAAATATGGGAATAGAAAACATCTCGATTGCCCATGGAAGGAATAACCTTTTCTGGGCAAAAACCATGCTCAAAGGAAACACTTTTCCTTGTAATTCTGTTGTGTTCACGGGGATATAGAGGGAGAGGAGGAAAACTGGTCACTGGGTGATGCCTCTGCTGGTTATAGGATTGCAAACCTCATCACAAAGAATTTGGGAGAATTCCTGAGAAAGTTGGGACTGGTGAACCGGTGACATGGAGGGGAAACGATGGCTCGTCCCGGGGGCACGAGACAGCACCGGGAGTTCTTGAGCAGGGCTAAATACAGAGAAAGCCACCACAAAAATAATAACAAAAGCCTCATGATCAAACCAGTATAAGCCATCCCGAGGCTTTCGGCCTCCTCGGGCGATGGCTTTGAGGGACCTGGACAGAAGGGTGGGCAGATTAGAAACGCCAGCGGCTCATCACCAGCAGCTGACTTGTGAGGCCCATGCTGAACAAACCTCACCTAAACACCCAGGGCAGCTCCTCTGGGAAGTGAAATGCTTTGCATAAAGGAAAGAGAAGGAAAAGCCCCAAACCAACCCCAAAAACCCAGCGATAGCCAGGCACAGCCCTGATCAACCAGGCCCGTGGGGAGCTCGGGGTGACGCCTCGGTCAGGTGCGTCTCTCCCACCCTGGAAAGCGGCCACAAAACTGGGTGGAATTAGGGGCAAGAAGCATCACTGCTGGCCACCCCGGGTCCTGCTCTGGCCACTGGGGCTTCCCTCGGCCGTTCCAGCCGGGCCTCAGCCCTTCCAGCCAGGAGGAACGACCTTCCCAGCCCGGCTCTTCGTGCCCTTCAGTCGCCTCCCGCCGTGGGAACGGGCTCCCCGGTAACTTTGCAACTTCATCATTAACAAAGGTTGTATTTAAGATTCCTGTGTCTACCACTTAATAACACCCAAATTAGTCTCGATGGAATTAGCTGTAATTAAGGACATTGTGAAATATGGTGGGGGCAAACAGAATTACACTGTATTACTTTATTAATAATATTCTTTAACTACACTGTAAATTGCTATTAGGTCTGCATATTACTGCCTGGATATGGAAATAGTCTTTTGCTATGCTAATCTAACACAATTTTCTTTTAAATGTAAACAAATTATACTCTATTAATATGCTGTTCTACTTGCATAGTTAATTATTGTAACAGTAAGGAATAAAATTGTTCTGCTTTCTCTGTTTCTGATGGAAAAAGGGCTACATAAATAGTTTAATAGGGAACTAATTATGCAAAAAATTTAGATGCCTAAAATGTGTTTGTAATTGCATTAAAATGGTCTTCTGTTCAAATATTGGAAAGCCTGCTAATTGGAGGCTAGCTGGAAATTTAAATATTGTGAATCAATGATTTTAATACAGTACATGTTTGGTTGTGTTTCTGTTCATATTTGTCTTTGGAAATGAAGAGAATATTTAACGGTGTTTAATAAGAGGAGCTCTGGGTTTCATACCAATGAGGTTAAGTAAGTGGAAGAGGAGCATGTGAAATGCGTGTGCCACGGGGCTAATCTGAACTCGGGCAGGGGCCAGGCAGTGGGCAAACACCAGCCCCAGGGCCAGAGGCTGACGCCGTGTGGCCGCCTAAGGAGCGAGCTCCGTAATTAACCTTGGGCCATCCCGCGGGGGTGCCAGGGCACCCGCGTGGAGACGCCCCACGGGCGCCAGGCAAACGCCGCGGCGCGGGGAGAGGCTGGAGGTGACCCGGCGGGCAGGAGGACGGGCAGCAGCTTTGCCCACCCGCCTGCCTGCGCCGGGAACGCGGGCACCGAGGGGGCTCTGTCCCCGCCGGGCACCGGAGCGCAGGCTGGGGCTCGGCGCGAGGCGTCTGCACCGGCGCGCTAGCACCCAAGTATAGCGATTTGGAGTGGAAACACGCAAACAGCTTGTGGTACAAAGAAAAGGATAGATTTCCAAATGGCTAATCTCCAGCCACCCACACAAGTTTTGTCTCTCTTTAGCACCTTTCTCTGTTGCTAAGTCTCGCATCCAAAAAATGAAGAGGAGACACTCCAAATTATGCAGCAATATTGTGTCGAGCAGCTGAAAACAGGCTGGGAGAAGATCTCAGGGAACGCAGCGAAATCATTATTATTATTATCTTCAGCAAAATGACACGGGGCAGCGCAGGACCGGCGGCGTCATGGACTCAAGGGGCCGGGGTGAGCGGGCGAGGGCCGTGGGCTGGCACGGAGAGGGCTGAGCACCACGCCGGCCTGTCTGCCGGCCCTTGTTGCCATCCCCGATGCCGGGGAGGACGGGCAGCAGATGCTGTGTCATGGGGAAAGGGCGACCACCCTGCCCCATGGCCCTGCCTGGACGGAGCTCGCCGCAGTGGGGAGGACCCTGGGAGCAGGCAAGGCTGGGCCCCACATGCTGCTCCCCGTGTCCCCCCGCTGATACAGAGCACGATCTGCTCCGTAGCCATCAGACTGGCCCAAGCAGGG